CAGGTTAGATTTATCATTGTCCAAGTTTTTTTTGGCTCTTAAACAATGTGACCCTTTAGTTTTTCACTAAAAGTGCTTATGAAATTTTCAGCTAATTGCTCGTCCAAACTCTCCTTGATTATGATTATTAATTCAATGAAAAACAGGATCTCTAAACAATCAATTTGAGCCAGAACAGCAATTGTCCGAAATGAAATTCCGAGAAAAATTTATTGAAAATGTCGCAAAAAATCATACAATACCGCTAAAAAATTATGTCGAAAAATTACAAGAATCAGATCAGCGATTTTTGGTCTTTAATTACGATACTATTTGGTGAACTATGCAACGAACACGGACCAAAAATTTACTTAAGCCGCCAAAATTTTCGAAGATACTAAACTTGAAGGAACGTGGACAAAGATTCTGAATCGTCAGATTTTCTACTTTATCAACGTCAAGGTATGTTGATTTTTGGTGCCAAACAGGGTCTTGATTTTTTGGTGAGAAGCCAAAAAATTTTGCGTAATGGAACTTTCAAAACTGCCCCACCTCTTTCTCTTCAAATCTACACCATCTTCGGGTCTGCTCATACTTGGAAAGTTCCTGCAGTTTGGGGATTTTTGACCGGAAAAACCGAAAAAATTTACAAACTTTTTTTCAAAATTTTGTCCAAAATATGCAACGAAAAGTCGGCTTTCCCGTGATGCCCGACACCATAGTAACCGATTATGAAACTGGGGTAATACCAGCAATTCGAGAAATTTTCCATGCTTCGGCACTTTTTGGATGCTGGTTTCATTTTTCGCAATGCATCTACCGAAAAATTCAAGAATTTGGACTAAGTTGCTATTAAAAAACGCACAAAAAATTTCAAGATTTTGCCAGAAAACTTTTCAGTCTCTCGTATTTACCTGTTAACAAGATAAGCATAGCGTTGCCTTATTGTCAAGAAAAAAACCAAGGAAAAATCAATTCTTGCAAAAAAATTGAAAAAATTTTTTCGATTGCTTGGAATTTTTGGATTTCATGTCCAATTCAAATGGATTTATGGAACGTGTTTGACCGCCCTGTGGATATTCGATCGACCATTAAGTGCGAAAACTGGAACAGAGATTGGAACGATCAAATTGGAGCCCAAAAGCCAAAATTTTGGACTGTCCTAAAAAAATTAACAATTCAAGAATTGGAGTCAAGACGACAAACTGGCCGTTTTGAGGCTCCGCCGAAACAAACGTTGCAAAACACAGTGTCAACATGTCGTTTGAAACGCCCGTTAAATAATATATAGACAGGTGCAAAAGATATATGCAATGATTAGCAGGCTGAATGGAATCCCTTGCTCTACTCTACTTGCTTTCTGCCCAGCCCTGACTTTTGTCGGAACATGTGCTTTGTTTGTATCGATTGAAGTTAACATCCGAGTAATTTAAGTTCGAATAATTTTATATCTGTTAGTCATGGATTCAATTTGCTGAGCTGCTATCATATCGCGGAATTCAGTGTGAATTCTCCAGTAAGTTTACTAAATGACAACTGGATTTTTTGGATTTCAGTTGTAGCTACTTCAAGGCCAAAACAAATTGCAAATACTTGGAAGTGATCGTGACGCACTCTTACGTTTTTTTAACCAAATTCCGTCATAAAAACAAATATTTTTTCTACGGCCTATAAAAAGCCCAGAATATTTTACCGGTTATTTATACAAGATTAACCTGAAACTCCAGAAAAAAACATATCAGAAAAACCGTCTACATCTACGATGATCAGCACAAATAAAAAATAATTGGTTTTTATAATTAAGTCAGCCAAAGTTCATTACACAAGTTTTTTTTCAAAAGAATCAATTCGCGTTTTTTTTAAAAGCATTTTGTTTTAAAAATCAACAAAACTGCTCGTATTAGGGCAAAGCCCTGATTGTTTCTACTGTCTTTTAAGAACTATGGAGCAGTAATAACATGAAAAAATAATTGTAAAAAAAAATTTGAAAATTAAATTTCTTTCATTCAAGTTTGGGAGTTTTGCGAAAATTCCCTACACACCATGAAATGCACAAAATGATAGATTTCGCTCTTAGTAACGAATCAATTATGGCAAATAAGCTTCCTTCAACCAATTTGGAACAATTTCTAAGACGGACTAAATGTCCGCTTACGCGTTAACAGCGCGAAATATATCGCGCGTTAATTGTCCCCAATTGGCCGAAATGGCAATCTTTATACCCCAATAACTTTACAAAAAATGATCACATGTGAAATATTTTTTCAAAATTAAGCTCAGGACAACAATAACTTCTGAATGATTTTTAAAAAATTCCCGTCAAATTGGCTACTTAAAAAGTCGAAAATTGTCTGAAGAAACAAGCCCACGCCGAGCACAAATATTCCGTTACTTTCCTTACGAAAGTCGGAACTATAAAGGTCAAGCTAAAAGAAATACTACCTATATTGAAATTAACTGTCCTTTGAATGTTCCGACTGTCCTTAGTTCATAGCGAATAGTTTTTGGGAAAAGAAAATATTGAAAACCTTTACATTTTGAACAATATCGAAGTGAAAAAGTTTGACTTGTACGAAATTGATAGGACCAATTAGCTAGCCTCAATTCAATTTGGAACGATTTTGTTGTGCGGGATAATTCGCCATCATGCCTAAATATTTCGCGTTACGCTCTCTCAGCATTATGAATAAGCGCGCGCATAATTTAGTCCGGAACATGGCAAATTTGAACTTAACAAAAAAATCGGAGGTGAAATAACCTTCTACATTTGATCTCCAGAAGTCGATATCTTTAATGGGGTGTAAAACATTTGTTGAAAATTATTATTTCGATCGGTAAAAATTGACTGAATAAAAAAACCACAGAGCATAAAAATTCCCTTTCCTTCAAAAGTCGGAACATTATTTAGTTAGTTCAAAAATTCGTTTTCTTATCTCAATTCTGTTTGTTTACTACAGTATTTGTCTGTTTACTGACGAGTAGGAATACGCGTTTGTCTAAATACAGACCGCACTCCGAATTTCCTACCAGCTGTTTGATTCTAGTGTATCGCTAAATCAATTGATTTCAAATTATTTAACAAATTTTAATGGCAAACAACCTCAAGTTCGGTCTGTATTTAGACAACCGCGTATTCAGACACTGTATAAACCAATCAGAATCGAGACAAGGAAAAAATGAATGGCATATCTTCTGTGTCTCGATTCTGATTGGTTAATACAGTGTCTGAATACGCGGTTGTCTAAATACTGCTACGTAACCAATTTTCGCGACCAGCTATCACCTCACTTGTGTGTACGACATAAATAATGACTGAAATTACAATGCTAGCCAAACAAAAGCGGATCATTTCAAAGTAACTATCGCGTGTTTTTCGCAAATGGTGCTTCCAAAAAACTTGGTTTATACAGTGTCTGAATACGCGGTTGTTTTTTTTTTAACAAAAACATTGTTGGATGCCCCAAGTCTGCTTTACGTTTGCACTAAATCTCGTTACTTTTTGTAAAGTAGACTTGGAGCATCCAACAATGTTTTTGTTTTGAAAAAAAAAAGAAAAAATTAAAAATCAAGCTTTAGGTTAATTTTTGAAAAATTTTCAAACCCCGAAAGTTACCGATTTCAGAGCTTTGTATTCTTAACTCGAAATAGGAAACTAAAAAGTTGACAGTATACAACTGCACTTTCCATATTTAAAAAACTAAAATGAAAAGATTTTGTGTAAACAAAGTTTTCGTAAATGAGATTCTAGTTTATTTTATTCACTCCATTTCATCAGCCCTCAAATTCATCATTTGCTGCCATCAACTTTGTAACCCAAAATGATTAAATATTTAAAATCCACAAAATTTTTCAAAATCATCAACTTACTGACAACTATTTTGCAAACAAACAGGCTTTAGCCGAAAAGTATCATTTTCTGAGCTATAATAAACAGAGGCCAGATTTGCAGCCTCTGGTATTATTTTGAAGCACCAAAACAAAAGATTGAAATTACCAATTTAAAAAAAAAATTTTCTGGTCAATTATTTCAAAAAATTCATTATTTTGGCAGTTAAAAAACTTGGACCAGTGAAATTTGGAGGCCAGGGTCAATAAGAATATTTTTTTGTATGGTTTTTTGATTTTTTTTTTAAACTATTTAAAAATATGTATTAAAAATTGAAAGAATGAGCAGTCACCATTGGAGATCACATCTGCAAAACTTGAAAGTACCTTGAGGTCGCGCCATCATAGGGGGTAGCGCAGTTTTTTTGAGGTTTTTCAAATTTTAGAAAAAAATTGCAAGGAATGGTAAACATATTGGAAACTTATAAGATTTGAGCGGTGAGTTTAGAAGCCTTATTTGCTACCAAGGTTTGAACCAGACAGCTACCCAATATATGTTTCAGACTTTTGTTAACTTTTTACACTGTTTTCAGAAAACCACAAAAATCATTATATCTCATGCCCTAAAATCGTTTTAGCAGTCAGATTTTGAGGTGAGCCTCGCATTCTCTCAGAGCATTCCGAAAACACTCCACCAAGGGGTTGCTTATTTCGCACTTTGTTAAGGTTGCTGAAAGTTTACGTTGCAAAAAAAGGGAAAAAACGTTGGAGTTCAAAGATTCAGGGTTCAACAGATTCATTATGCATCCCGCAGATGACCTTGGAAATTGCATTTGATAAAAAGACGTACTTCATTATTTGTATGGAGTATTTCAAAATGTTGAATTGGAAATATTGAGCATTGCAATAGATTGGCATTTTAACATGTCGTTAAGCGGACTTCTTAACCATGTGTTACGTGAAACACATCTATAGATAGATTGGTCGGGAAATCAAGATAAATGAGGTACACGATAATTTTTTTTACTAGAGGAGACTTGGGTTGAAAAGTGCATTTATTATGAATGTTCTGGCGGACTAGAAACGTTTTTGTTAAGCAATGATCACAAGTGTGGGCATGTACAGCAAATTAATTACAGGTTTAAAATAGTTTATAGTTTATAGCTATATAGTTTAAAATTCGCTGCAGAAAAATTTGAACTAGAACGGAAAACTTCGATAAGTTCTGAGAAAAGTCCACAACTACTGTAACTCGAGTTGCAACTGAAAATGCAATAATAATATCTCTCAAACAGAAGAGAAACTGAACCGATACTGTTTATTTAAAAAACCTAATTAAATTAATGAAGACTGCAATTTTTTTCAAAATTTATATTTGAGCTGACTTTTGTAAATCTGAAGACGAGAAACTACACGGCAATAACGTTTCAATCGAATGCTCTTCGACTTTGCCACCATCCGAACTGACGACAACAACTCGTGCTTTCGGATTCATCTCGGCAATAGCACTTCTGCACGCACCACACGGAAAAACACAATAGTCCAGCTTAGTTATTACGTAAAACGTATCCATCTGATCGGGTTTGAATCCTTGAGAAATGGCCGAGGCGATTGCCGATCTCTCGGCACAAATCGTCATCGAATACGAAGCGTTCTCGACATTACAGCCTGTGACTCATTTTCCTTATCCCCTACCACCTGCAATGCTTTCCTGGTAAAACGTTAGCCCAAATTTTCCAATTGATGCGTATTAATTCGGCCATGGCTTGCATATTTGATTTTTATACATTGTAACATGTAACTAGTTAAACCACGAAATACACCATAAAATTGAATTGATGATTATGTGAGGTGGGGAAAACGGAAAAAGAGCCCAGCCTGGAATCAGGTGACCGTCTTTTAGTTCAATAATACAGGCGACAGGAAAGTTTGAATAAGGACAGTAAGCTCGCGATTTGACTAAAGAGAGTAACTGGAAAATGTCTTTTTTGATTCCAGCACCATTCGATAACTTATTGCAAAAGTCGTCGGTCATAATTAACACCGACTTTTGACTTCGTTTTATTTAATAATTTTAAGTTTAGCTACGTCGAAGTGCCATAAAATATATTAAGTTTACGATGCTTTCGCTAATTTGGTCAATCTTTTGATAGACGTTTTGAGCTATGTATGAAGGTAAGAGTTCCTTGCTATCTTGATGTTTGCGTATTTTACTGATAAAGCTTTTCGGGCATTAAACTGAAGCGTAGATCACTCTCATGATAAGAAATTCTATTTAGCGATGTGGTTAAGTAAAACATATATGTATAACTTGCATCGGCGACTAATCTAAGAAGTTAAAACACATTCTGTATTTTGAATACTTAGGAGTGTTACGTTTTTGAAACTTGTCACTTTAAAAAAAATCACGATCAGCAAATCTTTAGATTAAAAGCCACAGTTTACTCAGTAGAACGACATTTGCTCTTGGCGAAACTATATTTTCTCAATTTTTAAAACAAAGCCAACCGGCGGAAAAGTGTCAAAAAAAATTAAAAAAAAAAAAACTTTTTTTTTATAAAAATTTTAATTTTGCGAATATCGAAGGAAAAATGCACCACATTAAGGCTCTTAGAATTTTAAGAGCTTTTAAAGATCGCAATTATTTCATAAAACCACCCCAATTAGAGAAAATGGGCCAATAATGTAAATTTTCGTTACCATGGGAAACCGTGAAACTATAATGCACTTTCGAAACTTCAAGTCATTCACGTTTTTTTCGCATCAATTGTATTTTCGTAATCGGAGAGGGTAATCTGCCTTGTTTTCAGCAATTACGTTTGAACTGAACATGCAGAAGCAAATGTCAAACCGCGAAAAATCAAATTTGACCGTTTTTAATTAAATATTTTTCCTGAAAAAAAAATTGCAGGTCCAAAAAAAATACCATCTTCGTGGACACAAAAACGAATGGCTCTTCAGTTTAAAAATGCTTCGGTAATTAAAATTATTTTAGTTTTTTTCTTGACTTGCGCATTTATTTGTTCCATCTTTCTAAATCACTTGTGACACTACAAGAACATGGCCACCAGAAAGTTGAAAAATGTCAATGAACGCAAGGAAGCAAGAAGCAAAATTGAATAGTTTGTTTGAAAAAACTTCAACTATCAAAATTACAAGAAAAAATTAAGCCCTGAAAGCTCTTCGAAAAATGGTTGGCACTTTCGGGATAAAAATAACGCATTTTGAGGAAAATGGATGGATCAATAGGTTTTTTCTATAGCTAAGAAATCTGAAAATAGTTTCGCGACCTTTACATTTTTGCTGTTCGACAGGGAAGTTTTCCTTCCTTTTAACAAGCGAAATGAACTGAACTTGAAAAAAATCAAAGTCAAACAGCGAAAAATCAAATTTGATTAAACTTTACGACTTTCCTGAAAAAAAAATCATTTCGGCCTATATAGTTGTCTCCATTGACACTTAAAATGTTCACAACGCCTAATCGAAGCCTGTCAAAACTTAAATCTCCAAAAAAACCAGCTTCAACCTTTATTAACTCATCTCAAAATGTTTAACTTAAATTTTCAAATCTTGAAGTGCTGTTCACAAGTTTTTTCATGTCATAGACACTGTTCACATATCCACTTAAATAGGTTTCAACAAAAAGGTTCAACGCGTTTAAGTTATTATATTCAGTGCATTGGAATTTCATCCCCGTTTTCACAGCAGTTTTCGAACTCCTCGTCTTTCAGCTTATCCGACTCTGCCTTATGATACTGTTGAGAGGTTTCACTGTGAGTCAGTTCACGTACTAACATCGTAGCATAAGCACTCGATGGCAAATGAAAGGATAATTTCAACCCAAAAAATTTCTCATTATCCAAACTATCTTCAAATGACAGTTCTTGGCTTTCATTTTTGTTAACCGTTTTCGACTCTTTTTCGTTCTCTTTCAAATAATCGATATCACTTTTGAGAACATCTTCTTCTATTGATTCATATGAAATCAAACCATACTTGAAATAATTCGGCTTACACACAATTTTTCTATAATCTCCCTTCAATTTATACTCCTTGATTTTGTGATCCATGCTTGCTTGGGTGAGTCCATCTTTTTCCAAGAACTTCAAAATAAATTCAGACATATTAGGAGGAAGTTTACTTTTTGAACCAACAATTGGAATAACACAATTTTCAAATTTGTTCTCGGCTAAATTATCGGCCGTTATTTCGGCTACCTCAAATGTGTTTTCAGTACTACGGTGAACAAGATCTCCAATCACGAGTTTTAAGCCAAACTTTTTAAGTCTTTGTGACACTGTCAAGTTCCATAGATAAGCTTGATACGAATGTAGATAAATAAGACGAATGTTCCGCTGCAAATAACCAAACGCTTCAATTATTTTTTGATCGGAGTCATAACCAGTGTCTTTGAGACCGAATAAAAACTTCTTCTCAACGCCGTTTTGAACTTGAAAAATCATTTCTTTCGTTAGATTTATATTTTCTCGAGCCATCATTTTCTTTTTTATCTCTTCAAACCATGAAACCTTTTTCAAATGACTTGAATCCGAAAACAAAAGCAAATTTACTACATTTAGCCAGTCATTTTTCAAAATACTCAGCCCGATTTCTGGGTTCGTATTGGACATAGAGCCGAATCTCTGCAAACCGAAGTAATTGATAAACCCCTTTTCTTCAACCTGACGTAACCGATTATGCAATAAAGGCACATTGTTTACGTCGATATTACGCAACAGAAGCTTAAACGCGTTTCCATTCGAAGCACCCAAGCCAAGTCGGGCTTTAGTGTATGAAAAGTCGCCAACTTTGATATTTGAACACAAATCGTTTATTTTGTTCAAGACCGAAGCTTCAACTTTGAAAACAGTTATGTTTTGATAAGTTACAGCTCTTTTATCTTTCGTCCCTGCAAAGTTGAATGCTTTAGTTGGTTTGTTAAGCCGCCGGCAAATTGTATCAATGGCTTCCATTGTTGACAGACCTTCTTTAAATAGCACAAATGAACAGTAATTGCCGAACCCATGACCTTCCCATTTAGAATGAAATTGACCTCTTTCATCTCTTTGGTTGGGCGAATACATCACGTGAATAAACCCGTCGAAGCTTTTAGAAATTAAACTCGGATTAATTTTTTGAATTGAGCTGTGAATAAGTTTTCTGGATTTTTTCTCTTCCGGTATTGACAAAAGTTTGACCCATGATCGTATTTTAGACGAGACACTTTCAGTAATTATTTTCGTTTGTTCATCTTCAAACAAGAACAAATTCTCAGACTCATTTTTTTCTTCAGCCGACTCTGTTTTCGGAAGCTCGAATGAAGTCAAATTCACAACTCTATCATTTTCATCAATTTCATTCACAATGAAATCTGAAAACCTATGTTTGAGAATAACATCAATAGATTTGCCGTCATCTTGAAAATCGCCTTCCACGAAATTACTAACATAGCAACAAATTCCAAACTGGTCTTCTAAAGTTTTTTCAGAGTTTTTCTCAAAAGCTTCGAGGGAACAACTAGCTTCTGTTTTCGTTCTCTTTGCGATCGGTTCATCCATTTTGACAGCAAAACAACTCTAAAAAATATCACAAAACAGATTAAAAGGACATATATACAGCTAAATGTCTAAAATTAGTGGAAACTAAGTAAATTATTCGCCTTTTTAAAACTTTGAAATATACAGTAATTAAGTGATTATGATAAGATAACAAGATGACTGAAAGTTTAAAAGAAACTTTCGTCAAAATTCTTTGTTGAGCAATAACATTAGGCTTCAAAAGAGACCCACACACGCTAAACTGCCAAAAAGCACTTTTTACAGCCTCAAAATAATCTATTTTGTGAAAGCTTTCATACTTTCTTGAAACAATTTTCAATTTCTATTCAAACAAATAATGAAATAATTTCTGCCATTTGTGGTATTCATGAAAATAACACTTGTTTAAGTTAGATTTTCAAGCTCTGAGAAAAGCGGAGGCCTTATAAATTCAATTTAAACAAAAAACTAAATCCACACTCTGCTGTTTTTGCTAAATTCTCAGGGGTTGTCCATATGATGATGTAGCAAATTTCATTAGTCTTAAAGCAATTATCAGCCAATCATATGATGGCAATTTTCACAAAACTGATATCTGGTGCACGCATAAGATATTAGCCTTGTTTCAAGCAAAACAGCAAACTGTCCATAGATTATATACAATTGAATTATAGCACCATCATACCAAGTAGATATAGCTGGCATTTCTTATCGATTTCCTATGTTCTATCCTCTCTGGATATTCGGTTCCATGACATTCTACCCTATTCCAATCTACCCTGTGCTAATCTACCCTATACTATTCTATCCTACATACCAATCTACCCTATGCCAATCTACCCTATACCATTCTACCCTATAATTAAAGCAATTGAAACTTACCCCATCCTCTTGAAGAATCCGAAACAGTATATTTCCGAACAAATCAAAGAACCATTAATTATGACCAAAGAATAATTGACGCACGTGAACAAAATATCAAAGCAACGTAAAACTTGCGCGTTCAAAATGGAAATGAGTTCAAAGCATGAACGAACAGAAATTTTAATCCAATGTTGCTATAGAAATGCGTTGCGGCTATTTCTTAAACAAACTAAAAACATATCACATAAAGTCGACATAGCGTAGCGGATAATGAATGTGTTTGAAAATGAAAAGTTCGAAAGATCAAATCACAAAGAAGTCAAATTTTGAATGAAATTCGAAAATTACTGAGGGTTTGACTAGTTGATCACAAAAGGAGGGGTAGACCCCCCAGTACCAGGCCAAGGCGGTACTGGGGGGCGGGGTGAGGGAGAAGGTAAAATTTTTTGGTATTGGCCTCTATTACCTCCCAAAATTTCAGCCCTCTACGGCCACGGGAACGTGCGTCAATTATTTTGTTCACGTGCGTCGATTATTCTTTGATCATAATTAATGGTTCTTTGATGTATTCGGAAATATACTGTTTCGGATTCTTCAAGAGGATGGGGTAAGTTTCAATTGCTTTAATTATAGGGTAGAATGGTATAGGGTAGATTAGTTTAGGGTAGATTGGTATAGCGTAGATTGGTATGTAGGGTATAATGGCATAGGGTAGAATGGTATAGGGTAGTTTGGAATAGGGTAGATTGTCCTGCCACCCTATTCCTATCTACCCTGTGCTAATCTACCCTATACTATTCTATCCTACATACCAATCTACCCTATACCATTCTACCCTATAATTAAAGCAATTGAAACTTACCCCATCCTCTTGAAGAATCCGAAACAGTATATTTCCGAACAAATCAAAGAACCATTAATTATGATCAAAGAATAATTGACGCACGTGAACAAAATATCAAAGCAACGTAAAACTTGCGCGTTCAAAATGGAAATGAGCTCAAAGCATGAACGAACAGAAATTTTAATCCAATGTTGCTATAGAAATGCGTTGCGGCTATTTCTTAAACAAACTAAAAACATATCACATAGAGTCGACATAGCGTAGCGGATAATGCATGTGTTTGAAAATCAAAAGTTCGAAAGATCAAATCACCAAGAAGTCAAATTTTGAATGAAATTCGAAAATTACTGAGGGTTTGACTAGTTGATCACAAAAGAAGGGGTAGACCCCCCAGTACCAGGCCAAGGCGGTACTGGGGGGCGGGGTGAGGGAGAAGGTAAAATTCTTTTGGTATAGGCCTCTATTACCTCCCAAAATTTCAGCCTTCTACGGCCACGGGAACCTCAAAAAGTGTAATTTTTTTTTTAGAAATTAAATTGAATTTTTGAAAAATTCACAAAGTTTGATAAAAGAAAACTGAGTTAGGAATGACTTAATTGCGCGAGAGAATACAAATATGTTAAAATATAATCTTTGTTAAAATTGTTGCAAATGTTTTTCACTTTCTCATTCAATTCCCTGTACTTCTTTCGACTGGGGTTGCTGTTTCCTCCCATTGCTTTCAATATATTGAATTTCTGATTGGCAGCGTCCAGTTTGATTTGTTCCAGAAAGGTGTGAACGGATGGGTGGTTTCCTTTAAAGAGAGTAGCAACGCCAAGATGCCAGCCTTCTACAGCATTTGTTGTCCTTATTAACCCAGCAGCTGCTTCTTCGGAATGATTCCAAAGGTTTACTGGGAAGAGAGGTTCGCGAGAATTCCTTCCGATGATTTCGCCTTTGATGTAGGTGCGCTGAAAGTATGAGGCTACCTCATCAAGTTTTTGAGTGATATTGTCGTCAAGATCAAATTTGTCCGACACGGTTTCGATTTCCTCAATGACCAAGTCAAAAGCAGCATTGACCATTTCAACTGGTACAAAACTTAGAGCTGGAATAAAGCGCCATGACAAATTGAGATCATGATTAGTTTCGTACAGTCGCTTCAGGCCCACTTCGTTTAATTTCCGGTTGAACGCTTGACATAAATGAAAATAGCAGCCTTTTAGCAACGCTCCGGTATGCTGACTAGCGAAAGCGTTCAGTGCTGCACGTTCAAAATCGAGGAGAATGCGGTGAGGCTCGGTGTTTTCGGTGATGGCTGATAACCCCTTCAGTAGCTTTTTGTAAGTGTGTTCTGCTTTGTTGGGCAACAGTGCATAAATGCAGGGGGGGGGGGGGGGTAAAAGCCAGCGAGTTGAATGTGGATGGTGTAGAGTTGATAAAATTGAATCGGGCAAACTTTGAACGTTCCATCACACAGCCAAACATCTCGATGTAATATCAAACTCTGGATATTGTCCCGATCTCCAAAAATCAACACCCTTTCTGGATCTTCAATGCCGCTATCGAAGACGCAAAAATCCTCATGTTGCTTTGGCACTTCAAAATGTCTGCCGACAATTAAAGGCAATGTGGGTCTATCATTTACCTTCTGTCGATTGAGGGCCCGATTAATAGCCGACCGACAAGGAAGAGCTAATTGAACTGCTTTTTCTTCGGAGACAGACTGCAGACCGTTTGCTATATTTACGCTATTGACTGGTACTTGCTGTAATTTTGTGTCCTGTTTCATTTTCTGCACTAGAAGCCTTGCATCCGAACGACCAGGAAATACTTCGTGCGTGTGCTCAAATTATACAGGCAATAAGATCGTTTTCTCGGGTTATTGCTGTTGTTTTGCATTTATGGGACCCCCATCTTGAACACTTCTAGTGAATGTTTCCATTCTTTGTTTCCTGTTTTTTCGTAAACTCGTGGCCACCGATTACAAGCGTTCGCCGATTCTGTTGGGATAAACCCCAAGAAATTTGACTCATTTTGGTAAAAGTTATTCCAAAGAAAATTGATAAAATGACGTAGTTTTGGTTTCATTTTTGTACGTGATTTTGAAAATTGGGGATTAAAACTTGTTAATTGAAACAAATTTCAGATTTTGAGGCTCTAATTGCGATTTAGTCTTTAGAGCAATTTCCTTAAGTGAAAGACTCAAATTGAGTCCAAAAATTGACTCAAATGAATTAACACGTGCTGTATGTTTCCGATTCTGATTAGGACTATGAAAGATTACATTATGGGACCTCATTATGGTATATAGGGCAGATTAGTATAGGGTAGATTAGTTTAGGGTAGATTGGTATAGGGTAGATTGGTTGGTATGAAGGGTATAATGGCATAGGGTAGAATGGTATAGGGTAGTTTGGAATAGGGTAGATTGTCCTGCCACCGGATATTCGTCTTTGATTCACAGAGTACTTCGAATTCCTTAAGGCTTTTTAGTACCCCCAGATATTTAAAGTTTGAAGGATTTAGAATTTGATTAAATGAAAATTTACTGCAAGCAGCACTAAATTAACTCGCAGAGTCATTTATAGTGAGCTTCTAAGAAAAAGTGTTATAAACTTTCAATTTTTAATTTAGCATTTACCTTTAAGGGTCAACCAAGTTTATTTTTTGTTTTTGAGTTTTCTGAAATTTGATAGACACGGTGAATCTTCTTTTAAGTTGATAATTTTCTGAGAACCGTTCATTGTCTTGGAGTGCTTCGTTTTACATTTCGGATTATTTAGTGCAAAAAAAGTTACTTTGTGAGTTCATCGGTGATACGGTTCTTCTTGGTGCAATATTCTCTTTATTATAGACACCTTTACTCTTTCAACCTACCAAATAAGCTATCGAGCCAAGATTACATTAAAGTTTTCCTCAAAAAATCATTATGATTTTTCTTTTTGATTTCTTGCTTGTTTTGATTGTTGTGCAGATAATGGCAACAAGATTGGTTTTGTGATTGTCTTGTTGCTAATCGTTCTCTAGGAATGACCACTTTTTGGAATTTTTCTTTAAAAAAACTTTGAAATAAGTATTTTATTTATTTTATTAATATAATTTACTTTTTGAAATATGTATTTTTGATTCGTTAAGTTGCTTTGACTGTAATGATGTTCAAGGGTAGGCTCCATGTGCGTATCATGTATGTATTTCGCCTATCCTCTCCAGGATTTTCTCTCATCATAAATTTAAAGTTGTTGTTGTAGCTACATCGATCTCTACTTCGAGCTTCTGATTGAATAAGTGAGATTGTTTATGTTTAAGAGATAGAGAGAGAGAGAGAGAGAGAGTTAGGGAAATTTCGTTCC